TGGTAGAGCACTAGCCTTGAGCTGAAGAGCTGAGGGACAGTGCCCAGGCCCAGAGTTCAGGCCCCACGACCGGACCCAAAAAAAACAAAAACAAAAAAAAACATAATATATATTCAATAAACACTTGTGAAAGTTGGCATGGTGGTGTATACAAATATCCCTACTGTGCATTTTAAAGTAGTGTCTGTCATTTTCATCTTAGTGTGACTGAATTTCAGCTTGTATATCTGAAGTAGATTTGCACAGAGGAAAGACCAATTCTATGCAGTATTCTCCACTGTTCTGGAGAAGCCGGGGGTGGGGGAGAGGTTACAATGAAGCAAGCAGGACATTGCAAAGGGAAGGAAATGGACCCATAATAGGTAAGCCAGGGTTGATAAACCCAAACTTTAGCTTCGCAAGTGTTCCTGTTTTTGGTATTTTTGTTTTTAGCCGTGCTGGAATTTGAAAGCAGGGCCATGCTCGTGCTAGGCAGGTGCTGTGTCACTTAACCCAGCCCCACGCACAGCTCTTTGAACTTTTAGCCTACATTTTCAAATAGGCCTCGGGCCCAGCCCCTCCTACTTTTGCCTCGCTGGGATGACAGGCATGTGCCATCACACCTAGCATATCGATTTGAGACAGGATAGAGAGATGAGGAGACAGGGAAATTATATCACGTTCAACAAATGTCCAAAGGGCGAGACGTAGAAGTTCAATCCCAGAAATAAAACAAAAAAGGAAATAAGCTCCTCTCTCAGCAGACCTCTTTTTTAATGTGAAGTTACAAGATTAGGAGACCTAAGAGGGGCTTGTAAAATCTGTCTCCTCCTTTGGAATGATTTTTTTTTTAATCTGGGAGCTCTTCTTGGCGGTGTAGAGACAGAAAAAAATGAAAGGCCTGCCAGGCATAAGGAAGTCCTGAAATTACCTGTTTGAGTTTGGGGAGGGGGGGAGCGAGTCCTCACCCATTTTACTCACCCAGAACATTGCCTAAGGAATTAGTTGTTGCTAACCAATAGATGTGACCACATGTCTTCCCTTAGTTCAAAATCTATTAAAAGTTACGGGCAGGGGCTGCCCTGCCGACTCTTGAACTCTCATTGTCTGCAAGGAAGCAGGAAATGTTTCTCTTTCTTTTGCATTTCTCCCTCCTGATATACAAAAATAAATCCTTGCTACGACTTTCACCTGTGAGACCCTCCTTTTTGTGTGTGAGAGGCATCCTGAAATGCTTCTCATGATCTGAAGAACCTGTGTGATTGCACAAGAATCAGGAAGCTGAAGGAATCTTCTTCCACCCTCAGGTGACAAATTGAGATGAGGTCTCAATAATCCCAATATCCACATCTCAAATAGCTGGGATTATAGGTATGAGCCAACACAGCTGGACACCATTATTTTTGAGACAGGGTTTCACTATAAAGCTCAGATTGACCTGGAACTTGAGGTCCTCCTGCCTCAAGTTAAAAAAAAAAAAAAGTAGTAACCTGCCTTACAGGTACATGGTACCTGTAAAAAGACATCATTAAAATGTATCCCATGGTTATATGTCCTTTGCCATGGTATTAGAGAAAATGAGGACTTGGTTTTTACTTTGGCTGGTAATGTTGGGCTTTATTTTGTTTTTGTGGTACTGGGGATTGTGCCCAGGCCTGGCATCCAAGCTTGATAAACAAAGGCTTTCACACTCCAATCATGCTCCCGGCTCTTTCATTTTGTTTGAGACAAGGTTGGCCTCCAGTTCACAATTCTGCTGCCTCCACCTTCTAAGTAACCAGCATTACAGACAGCCAATACCACACCTGGTTACTCCGATTGTTAAAAGATAATTCATGTCCTCATGGGAAATCACAAGGATGTAGAATAGGGAGGCCCACACAGGAAATACAGGCTTGCACTGCACAGTTTTGGCTCATCCTGCTGTTCTCAGGAACCTCTTAGTTTTATGGGGTACAGGGTTCATCTGTCCTACACATTAACATGGTCCCACAGAGAATAATTAGCATTCAGGTGGGGGCTTCGAACATTGCTCCTCTTCATTTTCTCTTCCCTCTTCTGCCAAGCTGAGGGCAAGATTTCTTGGTTTGCTTTTTTCTTTTCTTTGATTTTCCCACCCCCTAGGATCAGGACTCAGAGGAAGAAGAATTCACTAAGAGATGCCCTTTAGCAATTCATCTCAAATTCTAAAGGAGAACTTTCAGAAGTCAGCCTGCACCCATTATTTCTCACTCTCTACCAGCCAGACATGCCCTTGGCGACTCAAAAGTTATAGCCTCCCTATCAGCCTTCTCCTAATTGGTCTATCTTCCCCTCTCTTCTGTAAAACCTCCAGAGATGTATTCTTAATATATCAGTTGCATGCTGGGCATCAGCGGATCATACCTGTAACCCTAACTATTGAGGAGGCTGAGATCTGGAGAAGTACAGTGTGAAGCCAACTCAGGCAAAAGATTCCATCTCCAACTAACCAGCTAAAAGCTGGGATGAAGGTATAGCTCAAGTTAGTAGAGCACCAGCCATGATCAAGCAAGCCAAAGGAGAAGACAGGGCATTAAGTTCAAGCCTCCCCCCAAATAAAAATGTATACATACATATTCTAGTTACATGAAGACTGTTCTTTCAACATTTTGTGACCACCACCCTATCTACGAAAATCAACAACTCTTCCCTTGACATCTATCATGTCTGCCCTTCATCTTCCTTCCCAAAAGCTGTTCTCTTCCTGTCTCTCTTTTTCCTTTTCCTTTTCCTTCCCCCCCCCTCTCTTTTGATCATGGGGCTTGAACTCTGGTCCTGGGGCTAGAACTCTGGTCCTGGGGGCTGTCCCTGAGCTCTTCAACTCAAGGCTAGCTCTCTACGACTTGAGCCACAGCACCACTTCTACCGCCTGTTTCTTTGACTGGACCTAGAAGATTCTAGAAGTGAGGGAATAGATTTCAACCTAAGTATCTCATAACTTCATTAAATGTAAATATTACAATAGACCAAGTCTATCACCCCTCAGAAAAACTGAGAACCCTATGGCTGAGATGAGCATTAAATATAAACACTTAGAAAAGCTGATGTTCAAGAACCAGAAAAAGGTGGACACAGAAAACATGAATCCAAATGAAAATATATTAATATTGGACCATGTTGACTTTAAGAAGCACGATTAAACCAGTTGCCTGTAGCTCACACCTCTAATTCTAGCTGCTTGGAAGGCTGAGATGAGGAGATCATGACTCTAGAAAAGTCCTTGACACTCATCACAGCCGAAGAAGCTGAGTATGGTGACATGCATCTGTCCTCCCAGCTATGATGGAGAGCAGGATTGCAGACACATTCCTGGACAGGAAGTGAGACCCCCCCATCTCAAAAATAACCAGTGAGGTCAGTTTTATTAACTTTCACAAACTGAAGGTGACCCAAATGTTCATAAAAAGTAGAATGACTCTATGAATTATGTATGGTGTGTTCATGTAATGACATATTAAACAGCAATGAAAACAATCAAACTACACTCAACCCATCATGAATAAAATTCCACAATTACAATTTTGGGAAAAATTAGAATGCATCTTCTATAATTCAACTTATATAGAGAGTTCATAAATAGACAAAATTATATTCCTTACAGATGTATATGCAGGTGGTAAGAGTAAAGAAATGCATGGCTGTGACTGATATGGAATTCATCTAAAGCTTACACTTATTCAGCTAAGGACTAGGAAGCAACATAATACAGAAACTTTTGGGTGGCTAGTGATGGTAATTGCTTAATTTAAGTGATAGCTAGTGTTCAGTTTATATTGCTCTTGAATCATGCCTTTCCATCTATTTTTCTAATTAAAAAAATTATTGAAAAGATTGTATCTGAAGGCTGGGAATGTGGTTTAGTGGTAGAGTGTTTGCCTGGCATGCATGAAACCCTGGGTACCTCAATACCACAGAAAACAGCAAAAGCCAGAAGTGGTGCTGTGGCTCAAGTGGTAGAGTGCTAGCCTTGAGCAAAAGAAACTCAGGGAGAGTGCCCAAACTGAGTTCAAGCCCCAGAACTGGCACACAAAAAAAGTTTGTATCCAAATTGTTATATACCTATGAGTTAATGATATTACTAGCAATTGCTTGAAATACTAAAATTTTGCTCAATGAATATTTGCATGAAAGTGAACATTCAGATTCAATGTTGTCTGACTGAAATTTTTTAAATTACTTCTTACGTTATTCAATATTTTCAGGTTTTACAGGTAATACCCTATATGAAGCTGAAGCCTCTTCAAGACTATGAAAATATGTTCACTGGTTATTTCAGCAAGTAATAAAACTACCTTCCTCTGAAGACAGGCAAATTCTAGAAAATTCTATGATGGTCTACTAGGCAAAAAAAAAAAAATTCAAAAGTAGACAGATTAAAAGATCCCTATGATATTTTATAGCACCCAATAACAATTTAGAAACTGGGGCCATGGATCCTCTCTTAAGATCCCTCCCCGGGGCTGAGAAGGTGGCTCAGTGGTAGAGTACTTGCTTTGCATGCCTGAGGTCCTGGGTTCGATTCCTCAGTACCACGTAAGCAAAAAGAAAAAAGCCAGAAGTGGTGCTGTGGCTCAAGTGGTAGAGCGCTAGCCTTGAGCTGAAGAGCTGAGGGACAGCGCCCAGGCCCAGAGTTCAGGCCCCACTATTGGACCAAAAAAAAAAAAAAAAAGATCCCTCCTCATACCCTGTCCCTAATACTATGGATGTATGACCGTAAACAACTAAGCCATATATGCTTATTTTTTTAACTCGGGGCCTGACACTTGCTAGGTAGTTACTCTACCACTTAATCTATATCTCCATCTCTTTTTTTGCTTTAGTTATTTTTTGCTTTCATTATGTAAGAGTCTTGCAATTTTGCCGGAGGCCAGCTACAGACCTAATGCTCCTACCTATCCCTCATAGACAGACAGATAGATAGATAGATAGATAGATAGATAGATAGATTCCCTCCTATATATCCCTCCTATCATTTGTTGAGATGAGTTCTCTGTAACTTTGTGCTCAGGTTGGCCACAAACAATTACTCCTAATCTCTCTTAATCATTGCACCTGTCCCATTCTTTTACTTTTTGCTTTATTATTTATTTACCTATTCTTGATGCCAGTACTAAGGCTTGAACTCAGGACTTTTTGCTCTTGGTTGTTTTTTATGTTCAAGGCTGGAGTTCTGAAGGCAGACCTCCAACTCAAGGCCCAACTCTTTATACATGATTTTCTTGAGAAGACTGTTTGCTGTATATGAAACAGTGTAAATGCATTTGTCAATGTCCTTAAAGTCTCTACAAACTTTCTTATGATGAAAGAAATATAACTGATCATCTAAAAGCTAAAACTGTATAAAATTTTATTTTCACTTTAGAATACTTATAATACACAGAAGACAAGTCTAGCTATTTACAAAAGATAATTACAATTAGTGGGAGGAAACTTTCGTGTGTGTGTGTGTGTGTGTGTGCCAGTAGTAGGTCTTGAACTTAGAGCCTCAGCACTTAGCCTTTTTTGCTCAAGGTTGGTGCTGTACCACTTTAGCCACACCACTTCCACCACTTCCAGCTTTTTTTTGCTGGTTAATTGGGATTAGGAGTCTTATAAACTTTCTTGCCAGGGCTGGCTTCAAACCATGATCCTCAGATCTCGGCCCCCTGAATAGCTAGGGTTATAGGCATGAGCTGCCAGCACCTGGTTAACCCTCACCAGGTGCTGGTAGCTCACACCTATAATCCTAGCTGTTCAGGAGACTTACATCTGAGGGTCATGGTTCAAAGCCAGCCTGGGCAGGAAAGTCTGACACTCTTATTTCCAATTAGCCATCAGAACACTGGCAGTGGCACTGTGGCTCAAAGTGGTAAAGCACTAGCCTGAGCACAATCTCAGGGACAGTGCCCAAGCTCTGAGTTCAAGCCCTATGACCAACCAAAAAGAAAAAATTCCCTCATAATAAGTCACTCAGTATATTAGAAGGAAATAATGAATTACCAAATCCAAAAGCTATCATACTCCTTTAAAAGTAACTAGTTAATAAACTGAGCCAGTATCATGTAAAAATAGCTGAGAAAAGGAACATCCTACTAAGCATAAATGTGTGGGGAAAGCCCATACTTTGATTCCTGTTTAAGACATGGGAGAGACTCACCTTTAACAAAGGATAGTTGATACTTGCAACCCACATGTTGGTAAATGGGGCCTCCAAAACGATGGCATCAACTGGGCACCCTTGAAATCATCAAATGGGGGAAAAAGAAAACTCAGAAACTTCCTAGGGAAAGAGTTCTAGGGTCTTTACAGGAACTCCCTGGATCAAAATCAGTTGTGGAGCTGTGCATGAAGGGCTCACGCCTGTAATCCTAGCAATTTAGGAGGCTAAGATCTGAGGATCACATTTGGAAACCAAAGCAGGAAAGCAGGAAAGTCTGTGAGACTGTCATCTCCAAATAACCAGCAAAGGGCAGGAAATGGAGCTATGACCCAAAGGGTAGAACACTAGCCTTGAACAAAAAAACAAAGGGACAGCACCCAGACTCTGAGTTCAAGTCCTAGTACTAGCACATAAAAAAATTAATTGTGGAAGAAGTGGTGCTGTGGCTCAAGTGGTAGAGCACTAACCTTGAGCTGAGGGACAGTGCTCAGGCCCAGAGTTCAAGCCCCATGACCAACAAAAAAAAAAAATTAATTGTGGAGATTTTGAGTCAAGCAAACTCTTGTTCCACCCCATACTTATGCATTATGGTATTTCAGTAGGGACTAAGAATGTGCGTTGTCTATGTTTATTGCAGCATTATTTACTATACCTAAGATATGGAACCAACCCAGATGCCCCTCAGTAGGTGAATGGATCAAGAAAATGTGGTATATATACACAATGGAATTCTATGCCTCCATCAGAAAGAATGACACTGCCCCATTTGTTAGGAAATGGAAAGACTTGGAAAAAATTATATTAAGTAAAGTAAGCCAGGCCCAAAGAAACATAGGTCCCATGGTTTTCCTTATTTGCAATAACTAGTATATGTCTGAGACAAGCAGAAACAGTCAGATAAGTTGATGTTAGGTGAAATGAACCCCAAGATAAGGACTCAAATGGTTTTTCTTCCTTGCTATTGTTTCTAACATGTTTATAAGATAATTTCCCCATGGTATAACCCCTGTTTTCAGTGTATTTGATGTTGGTATAATTTGTGGAGGGGAAGGGAAAAAACCAATTGTTTAAATAGGGATACAGGTGGACTCATTGCAACAATGAGATGTATAAGATGTTATGTGGAAAAACAAACTTTACAACTTTGGCCGGGGGGATTGGGGTGGGGGTGGGGGGGAGATGGGAGGGCAGGGATGGAAAGGGGAAACAAAAGAGGAGGCAACAATGTTTGATAAGAAATGTACTCATTACCTTGCTCATGTAATTGTAACCCCTCTGTATGGTATTTTCACAATTTAAAAAACATTAATAAAAAATAGATAAGTAGACAAAAAAAAAGAATGTGTATTTTCAACAAGTGTCCTCCTCCCTCAGAGATTTCTATGCGCCTGATAGTTAAAACCACCACCTTCTTCTATGAATGTAAGATTTTTCAGAACTCAGGTAATTTAAGAAAACAAAGTACAACTGGGCACTGGTTTCTCACACCTGTAATCCTAGCTATTCACAAGACTGAGATCTGAGAATTGAAGTTCAAAGACAGCTCGGGCAGGAAAGTCCATGACACCCATCTCCAATTAAGCACCAAAAGAGTCAGAAGTGGAGTTGTGGCTCAAGTGGTAGAGTGCTAGCTTTGAGCAAAAAGGCTCAGGGACAGTGCCCAGGCCCTGAAATTGCCCCAGGACTGTCAAGAAGGAAAGAGAGAGGAGGTGGAGAGAAAGAAGAAAGAAAGAAAGAAAGAAAGAAAGAAAGAAAGAAAGAAAGAAAGAAAGAAAGAAAGAAAGAAAGAAAGAAAGAAAGAACAGAAAAAGAAAGAAAGAAAGAGAGAGAGAGACGGAGAGGGAAAGAGGGAGGGAGGGTCAAGAAGAATGAATGTTCAGCGTTGCGTTGAGAAGAATGTGCCAGAAGCTAAGGAGGTTTGGTCAACACTCCCTATGAAAACAATTAGGAAGCATATGTGGGGAGAGTGTGTATAAGCATATGTGTACATGCATGTGCATACATGTATACATATATACATGGCATACATGATGGCATATGAGGGCAACTGGTCAGGGAGAAGTCTCAGAGTCAACACCAAGTGAGGAAAGCCCAGACAGCAAGCTCCTTTGCCCTTGAAGCAGCTGAACTCTGAAAACAGCAAAGTGTTTCACAGAATTAGAAACTAAACAGAACTTTTAATACTCACATCGAACTACAAGGACCAAAGCCAGAGATCAGGATGTGACAAAGGGGAGGCTGTATGATGTTTCTCAGGCCTTTGGTTGTGACTTCAAAGTCTGCAGCTAGAGTAACCACATACTAGAAACAAACCAGCCCTTATAAAGATGGGAGTCCAGCTTCAAGTCAACTCAGTCTTATTGGACTAAAGTGAGTTATCCCACTAAGAAAAGGCCATTATTAAATTACTTCCGGAAGAAGACAGCATCATCCCAAGTCTTAAGACAACTCCATAACTTCTATATAATTCATCCTAGTTAATTCATTCTAGTTAAGAATAACTAGATGCAGCTGGGCAGTGGAAGCTCAGCTCTATAATCCTAGCTACTCAGGAGGCTGAGATCTAAGGCTTGAGATTCAAGGCTAGGCAAGGCTGGAAAGTCCATGAGACTCTTCTCTCCACTTAACTACCAAAAAGCCAGAAGTGGAGCTCAAGTGGTAGAGTGCTAGCCTTGAGCAAAAAAGCTCATGAACAGTGATCAGGCCCTGGATTCATGCCCCAGGACTGGCACAAACACACACACACAAAAAATAGACATCCAAACTTAAAGCCAAAGGGACTGGAAATGTAGTTCCAGGCAAGTACTTGCCTAGCATGTGTGAGGCTCTTGGACTGCCAAATAAATAAATAATATTAATATTGTTGGCTTGGAAATTCTCTTAATTACACAGTATTGTGATAATGAATATTTTTATTCACCCAACATTTCTAAATAGAATAAGTTCTAATTTTTATTTTTTAAAACATGACCTGACCCTATTCAAAGAGATTCTACTCATAAAACCTGCTAGGATCCAGGAAACCTGTATTTCAAACAGCGTACGCTGTACATTCTATACAAGCTGTTCTCAGCTGGCTTTGAGAAACACTGACATCAATATTACACAAGAAGGGCTGGACACAGCAAGCCCTGCCTATTATGTCATAATGTAGAGCTCCTTGCCTCTGACTTAATGTCACTTCACAATCACAAAATCCCTCCCTCCTCCACTCTCCCTCCCTCCTTCCCTCCCTCCCTCCCTTCTTTCTCTCCTTCCTTCCTCTTTCTTTCCTTCTTTCTCTTTCTTTCTTCCAGTCTTTTTAGACAGTCTTACTATGTGCTCCAGATTGGCCCCACACTCACAATCCTCTGACCTCAGCTTCCTGAGTGCTGGGATTACCAGCATGCACCATCACACGTCTAAAAGGACTCCTTTGAAGGTAATTTTAGTTCTGTCCTTAGCATTTATGTTTAACTTCATAACCTGGTATAGCAGCTATTATATATAGTAAGTGCACAGAAAAGACAAAACTTTGCTATGCTGCCAGAAATGCTCTAGTAATCTGTGTGATCAAAGTGACACCAATTTCATGAAGTTTCTTGACTGGTTTTGTTCCCACCTTGAGCGAAGGAATGTTAGCCTTTACACATGGTATTACCTTTCTCTTCCAATACCTTTGCAGCGTTGGTGGCGACTCTGTAAGACAATGGAAATGAATGCTTATTTTTAAAAAACCACTCAGAGCCCAGTGGACTCTGTAAAACACAGCATCGGCAGTGAGCATGCGCGGGAGACTCCACACGCTTCTGTTAGAGAATCCTCTAATAGAGGATTTCAAGGGGTTCCACAGACCCTAAATTAAGGATCCTTTTCTTCAAACCTTTCTAGGAGAGTTCTAGAATAAACATCAGTTGTCATAGATAACCAGAGAACTGAAGGACCCTTCTTTGCTTTTTGAGATGGCATAGGGTCTCTTACCCACCTCTGGGGAGGGACAGAGAGCAGAGTCCCGGGGTCCCAGCTCACTGTCCCTCTCCCTGTTTGCTGCCGCTGACAGGACGCTAAAGCTCCACGCACCCTCCCCTCCCACTTACCCCGTGCCCAGAGAGTGGCCCCACAGGCATATAGGAGTGTCCCCACTTCTTGCCCTGGTCCATTCATAGACACAAACGGCATCCACCGTCAGTCCTTCTTCTGTTGGCTTCCCCGTGGAATCCCCAAACCCTGGCAGAAAGGAAGGCAAACACAATGTCACTACCCCCACAGTGAATTACCTTTGCACATGGTTCTTGTGTGTGTGTGTGTGTGAATACTGGGACTTGAACCCAGAGTCTGGATGCTGTCCCTTAGCTTTTTCACCCAAGAATGGCACTCTACTACTTGAGCTACAGCCCTGTTTCCAGTTTTTTTACTGATTAATTGGGGAGAAGAGTCTCACAGATTTTTCTGCCCCACTGGCTTTGAATTGCAATTGGTGGATCTCAGCCTCCTGGGTAGCTAGGATTATAGGCGTGAGCCACCCAAATCCCAGCCTGTGTAGAGTTCTTAGCACATACCTCTGTAGTCAACAGACAGCACGTGAAAGCCGCCATCACTCAGCACCTGGGTGATAAGGGAGCCATTAGCACTTCCTGATTCCAACAGCATGATTCCCCTCACCACTGCCCAGTGGCCCTCGTTGTGGTGGCTTCATAGCTGGGAAAGAGATGTACTTTTAAAAAATCTGCTGCTCACTGTTCACAATAGCTAGGATATGGAAACAACCCAGATGCCTCACCACAGATGAATGGATCCAAAAACTGTGGTATCTATACACAATGGAATATTATGCAGCCATTAGAAATGATAAAATAATGGCATTTGCAGGGAAATGGATGGAGCTAGAAGAAATCATGTTGAGCGAGGTAAACCAAAAGTAAAGAGAACAACGGTACATGGTCTCCCTGATAAGTGGATGCTAAATCCAAAATGTTAGGTGATACGACAAAATTAACAGGACTTAAGAAACAAAGTACTTCCACTCATCTGGTTGAACCACTGCTAAATAACCCCATGCTGCTGATCACATGTATGGTATATATGTATATACCATTATATGTTATAGACCGTGATAGACAATTTGCTCCAGGAAAGTTAGAATGATCTTGTGACTTTAAATGAGCATCATTATTCCACAATACTGTGAAATTTGGGAAATTATGTAATCACTTAATCACAATAAAAGAAAAAAACCACCAGAAAACTAGAAGTGGTGCGATGGCTCAAGTGGTAGAGCATGAGCCTTGAGCTGAATTGCTCAGGGACAGCTCCCAGGCCTAGAGCTCAAGCCCCATGACTGACAAAAAGAGAGAGAGAGAGAGAGAGATCTTTCATGTGATTGTTTCTAACATATTTATAAGATTATGTCTTTGTTGCCTTGTATGTCCCTCCCCCATGGTACAACCCCTGCTTTCACTATATATGATGTTGGTATATGTGGAGGGGAAGGGAAAAAACAAATTGTTAAAGCAGGGATACAGGAGGACCCATTGCAACAATGAGATGTACAAGTCGTTATGTGGAAAAACGAACTTTACAACTTTGGGGGGGGGATGGAGGAGGAGGATACGAAGGGATGTGAAGGGGAAACAAAGGAGGAGGCTGCAAGGCTTGATAAGAAATGTGCTCATTATCTTACCCATGTAATTGTAACCCCTCTGTACAGTATTTTCACATTAAAAATATATTTTTAAAAATCTGCTTGTCTTCAACCATGAGATCAATCTCTGCAGAGAAAATGGAGAGCAGCCTAGCAGAACAGGATCAGGCCGCCGGGTCCCAACCCTGGTACAGGCATCACCAGCAGTGCGATGTTGCCCAAGTTACTTGCCATTCAAAGATGTAACTTACTCTGAAAAGTGAACACTGTTTGCATTCAGATTACATACATGATATACTAAAGTATCTAATTACATGTAAATGTCTATTTTTAAGTTGCCTTGAGCCAGGCATGGCAGCATATGCCTGTAATTCAGCCCTTGGGAGGCTGAGTCAAGAGGTTCATGAATTTAAAGCCAGCCTGGGCTACAAAGTAAGAACCTATTTTTAAAAACATTGATGTTCAGAAAGACTGCTTCAGACATACCTTTACCAGCTTAATTCTGTGGGAAGCTGCCCTGGAAAGAAAGTTAAAACAAAAAAAAAAGAAAAGCAGAGTTAGGAATTACAAGGACAAATAGTAAAAATCATTCTTGAACATCTTGAACACATGCCTTCTTTTTAAAAAAAAATTTTGTTTAGGTTAAGGAGATCAGTAACTAGCCCACCTGTAATCCTACTCAGGAGGCTGAGATCATGAGGATCCCAATTTGAAGCTAGCCCAAGCAGAAACGTTTATGAAACTCTTATCTCCAAGTAACCAGCAAAACACTATAAGTAAAGGTGTGACTCAAATAGTAGAGCCTCTGCCTTGAGCAAAAAAGCCAATCTAGAGCTTGAGGCCATGATTTCATAGCCCAGTACTAACACACACACACACACACACACACACACACACACACACACACACACATCAATAACTAGGAGAAAGACAACCATTTCTTGGTGGCATGTAAATGACCAGCAGCTCCCCACAGCTGAGCTCCTCAAAAGTCCTGAGTGCGCAGCTCTCTCTAGAGCTTCTCATGTGAGCCCTTATCAATAAACTATTGATAATTCATCCCCTTTTACTTCTACATAGAAGAATTGTACGAGAACTTCTTTTCCTTTAGGATACTGGTAGCTGACACCTGTAATCCTAGCTACTCAAAAGGCTGAGATATGAAGATTATGGTATGAAGCCCATGAAAGTCCATGAGACTCTTATTTCCAAATAACTAGCAAAAGGCTGGAATTGGAGCTGTGGTTTGAGTGTTAGACCACCAGCCTTCACAGAAAAAAAAAAAAGCTGAGAGAACCAGAAGCCCTGAATTCAAGCCCCAATAAATAGGTAAATAAGTTTTATAAAGCTTTTCTAAAGGATGAGGAAGTCAAGTTGTACTAAATTACAAGTTGCCTGTATCCCATCCACTCTGCCATTAAGTACAAGACAACATGAAGGAGAGATGTTCACCAACCTGCGAATATAAAAACCATTTTTGCCAGATGCTGGTGGCTCACACCTGTAATCCTAGCTACTCAGAAGGCTAAGATCAGGGCTGGGAAGGTGGCTCAGTGGTAGAGCGCTTGCCTTGCAAGCCTGAAGCCCTGGGTTCGATTCCTCAGCACCACATAAGCAAAAGAAAAAAAAAACTGGAAGTGGCGCTGTGGCTCAAGTGGTAGAGCGCTAGCCTTGAGCTGAAGAGCTGAGGGACAGCGCCCAGGCTCAGAGTTCAAGCCCCACGACCGGACCCAAAAAAAAAAATTAAAAAAAAAAAAAAAAGAAGGCTAAGATCAGAGGATCGCAGTCCAAAGCCAGCGCAGGCAGGAATGTCCATGAGACTCATCTCCAAAAAACTACTGAGAAAAAGGAGGAAGTAGTGCTGTGGTTCAAGTGGTAGAGTGCTAGCTTTGAGCACAGAGGCTCAGGGACAGTGCCCAGGCCCAGATTCAAGCTCCATGATAGACAAAAAAAAAAGGGGGGGGGGGAAATTGTCCAAACTAATTGTATTATCGATTCACATTGAGAGGGGAGGGAAAAAGAGATTCTAAAAGGCAGAGAATCCTTTAAAAACATATTTTGAAGTTCACCTTAGAGGCAAATTTCTTAAATGTTAGTAGGTCTCAGAACCCTTTGGATATCTAATTAAATCTATAAACCCATGTCTAGAAGCAGTATACTCATACCCAAAACCTTATGTACAGCTTTAGGAGGGGATTCAGGGGCCCCATAGGACTTCCAAGGAGACAAGTCTAGATCCACCATAATCTCCTCTTGAAGGAAGGCTGCTCTGTTGTCAGAACTATCAACTCAGTACTGTACAGCTGCTTATAAGCTGAGGCTTCTGGGCAGAAGACAAAAAGAAGGTGTGGCTAACCCCAGCCATTGAGCATCTCAGGTACTTTAGAGAATTCTCACATTCCCAGGGAGGCCCAGAGTAGGGAGAGGCAGGGCAGGGGAGGTACCATCCACATGATCCTTAAATAAGTAGGCTTTAATACAATGGCCAAGTTTACACAGAACAATGTTAACATAAATACGTAAATTCCACAGAACGTTTCAGGAAGTGTGATTCTAACTGAGAAAAGGCACGAGTTGAGAAAGTTATCACCAGACAGAAAAAGACAGTGAGAAAAATCAACACAGGCCAGCTAGCCAACAGGCAGATTCCAGGGCCTGTCACTGAGTTGGAGTATCTGTGCAGTAATAGGAGATCCCTGGTTTTCTGAGCCATGTGCTCCTCCCCAGGTTGAGACAGGCTGTCTTGGCTGATAATCATCATCCAATGCAATTACATAGACCTGAAAAGGCCTTGACAGCCAGGCTTCTTTGTTACAAAACAAGTTAGGGACTACAGCTAGTAACCTAATGCAGTTCAAATTAGTCAGCAAGTCCCTCAATACCTGTGGCCAGAATTCCAGGAGATTTCTCTTAGAGGCTCTACTTTGACTCTCACAGAGTTAATGTCACATAAATAGCCCTTCACTGTAGTTTTCTGAAATTCCATGGATGTGGAACTTGTGCTTCCATTCCCCCATAATGCCTTCCTAACCCCCTTCCCAGTTTGTTTATCTAAATGACAACCAAAGAAAGACTCTCCAAAGATACATTACCATAGGAATAGGCACATAGGATGCTGGGAGTGTATTTAAAAAGATTGAGGCCAGGGGGGTGTTTTTAAATACAAAATAAGAGGCCTCAATAAGCTATTTTGAAACACTAATCCCTAGCTGTGAGGAGTAATAACAAAGGTGGCATCAGGTCTAGTTGGAGCAGACAGTTGCTGAGAAGATGTTCTTGCACAAGTATTTTGTGTGCAAGATTGCAACAGTCTTTGTGCATGACTGTGGTTCCATTAATGATTCTTGTTACCTGACGTACATGCATGAGACCTTTTCCTCTCTTTTCTTTCTCCTAAGTCTGGGGATTGAACTTAGATTCCTATGATTGCTAGGCAAATGCTCTACCATGTGAGTCATACCTTTAGTCCTTTTTGCTTTTTAGTTTAGTTTAGTTTTGTTTTGTTTTTTGTTTTGTCAGTCGTGGGGCTTGAACTCAGAGCCTGGGTGCTGTCCCTCAGCTCTTCAGCTCAAGGCTAGCTCTCTACCATTTGAGCCACAGCACCACTTCTGGCTTTTTCTGTTCATGTGACACTGAAGAATCAAACCCAGGGCCTCATGCCTGCAAGGCAAGCACTCTACCACTATGCCACCTTTCCAGCCCTAGTTTTTGTTTTTTGTTTTGTTCAGATAGGGCCTCATGCTAATTTTGCCTGAACTGGTCTCCCAAATAGCTGGAATTAGAGATGTATACTACTGTGCTCAGTCCTAAAACACACTTCTTCATAATTTCCTAAGTTTATTCCTTTCTTGGTTAGGGTTTGACACAAGTGACTCTATTTGGATTGTGGCAAATTTGGATTATGGCATTTTTTAAAAATCTTGTCTATGGAGTAAAGGAACTATTGCCTTCTTTAAAATTAATATACAAGTTTTGGAAGACTTACTCTTTTCTTCCTTTCAGTTAAGAATGCTGCATTCAGAAAGAAGCCTTTTCCAGAGAACATCCTCAGATTCCAACAAAGGAATAGACATACATGAAGGTATGCCCACTATGTTAAAAACTGAGTCTGACTTCTCTCTCCCACAGTGATGAGATGTTCTGAGTATTGAGGGAAGAGGGAAAATCCAAGCAAAGGCACTGACCTGTGTTCTGAGCTGCCATGAAGATAAACAATGATTGGGTTCCCATCGCGCAGGGCCTCTTCATACCAGCAACGATCCTTCCCCTTGGCATCATTCCCCCGGCAGCTGGGAACTGTGTGCCTGAGGAGCAGGGACAGGGGTCATAAACACACACTCACCCAAGAATTCTCTATGCCCCAGATGTCTGAAGGTATATGTGTGTGTGTGTATACATATATACATATATATATGTGTGTGTGTGTGTGTGTGTATATATATATGTGTGTGTGTATATTATATATGTGTGTACTATATATATATATATGTATATACACACACATATATGTGAATATAGGTCTTGTTATCTGAGCAAAAATTAAAATCTAATTCCACAACATCTTATGATAAAAACTACTCCCCATGTCTGGTGGCAATTTCTTTCAACCATTTAGTATTTTAGCTCTTTGAACTTTTGTACATATTGAGAGCTTCCCAGACTGCAGTTCTTGGGTATAGATCACTGAAGTAACCAAAAGAAAAAAGAAAGAAAGAAAGAGGAAATAAGGAAAGGATAATAGATATTTTGTCTGAAGAGAGAAGTTAGAATTTAAAGAGAAATTATTAGGAGACTAGAGTATGGACATGAAGTCCAGGCTGTTCTATTTTAAAAAATTAAGTGATCTTGTGATTTTTGCAAGCTACTCCATCTTGTTAAACTATTGGATGGACCCTAAAAATATAAAGGCAGCCTGGTGCTGATGGCTTATACCTATAATCCTAGCTACTCAGGAGGCTGAGATCTGAGGATCAAAGTTTAAAACCAGCTCAGGCAGAAAAGGCTATGAGACTCATAGCTCTAATTAACTACCAAAAAGCTGAAAATGAAGGTATACTTCAAGTGATAGAAACCATCTTTGGGCAAAAAAGCCAGACAAGGGCCGAAGGCCCCGAGTTCAAGCCCCAGTCACAGCATCAAATGAGAAAAAAAGAAAGAAAGAAATGCTGCCATATGTTACTTCACAGAAATGGTAAGTCTTCAGTCCTCTCAATCAATAAAGGACAGAAAGTCTGCCATTGTCTCCAAGGACGTTGTACTGAGACTCCAGGCACTACTGTCCCTGGATGAACTGCCTGTGTGTGTTGGGCACAGCTGCTAGAACTGTGAGGTGAAACAACCAATCAGAAGGTTTCTAAGTCCGAGCACTATTCCCTGGAGTGCTCTCTGTGGAACAGGAAGAAAGAAGTACGTGCATCGATATTGGTTTCACAGTCAGACCATTCCATGGTCTGAAGTCCAAAGTCAGAGAGAAAAAAAAAAAATAGGAGGCAGGACACTGGAGAGCTGGTAGCTAAGAAAAGCAGTAGAACCAAACAAAAGACTGAGATTAGTGTAACATGGACAAATATTTATTGAGAGTCTTCTGAATGCCAAGAACTATACCAGTCAATGAAAACCCACCCCTAACCACCACCTGTCACCCAGGAAGCTATGGCTTTGTAAGCAAGGCAAACACTAGCCAACTACACAAATATGTGTTTAATTACAGTGGAAAGAAATGTCCTAAGGGATGAACAGAGATGGCTGCAAGAGAGCACGCATACCTGGAACAGAGGGTGTCCAGTGAGCCAAGAGGCCCCTGAAAACAACGAAGTTACAGTGAGAGGATGAGTAAGCAGCTGGCTGGGCAAAAGGAGGGGCAGGAGAGCACGGTTAGCAGGCAGCACTGGGAACAGAGCGCATGCTGGGTATGGGACCTGAGGTTTGCATGGTGGGAGTGTGTGTGGAGCTGAAGGCCACCAGGGGTAGGGAGGAGAAGGGCAGGAGAGGTGGGCGGGGCCAGGCACCCAGGGTATCCCAGGAAAGACTTTAAACTTTGTAGCAAGCAAGTAGTTAATTGAAGATAAAAGTCTCAAAATCTTTTCTGTTCAGGCTGACTTTGAACCCTAGACTTGACTTTAAAAGCCACAATCCCCAGATCTCAGCCTCCTGAGTAGCTAGGATTACAGGCGCCTGGCTTCTTACTTAGCATCTCAGTATCTGATCCATCTACTCACCAGATTCCCAACATCACTCCAGGCTCAGGCCTGATGTAGAAGTTCACTGTGTGAGCAATCTTGGACTCTGGCTTCTTTAAATCCACAAGAAAAGGAGCTTTGTCTGGAAGGTAGAAATCATTATCACTCCTCAGAACCAAAGCCTATATCTCTTTGTCACAATAAAAATAATAATACATTGAAGGGAAAATTACCTTTGAAGCTGAATTAAGTTCTAAGTTTCAAGCTCAACTTCCAGCAAAATATTTTATTATCAGCTGGAACTAGTCTAAAAGAGTTGTGAAAACATGACCTAAAGCTTGATTTTAAAATAGTGCAGGTATCATAGCCCATAATAGAGAAGAGAGTTTATTCAGTCCTAGCTGTGTCTCCAGCTAAAAACAGAGGAAAACATTTCCTGAAAAGGCAGGTGGACCCAGGGACCGGTGGGTCATTCTTGTAATCTTAGCTACTCAGGAGGCTGAGATCTGAGGATCATTGTTCAAAGCCAGACCAGACAGGAATGTCTATGAGACTCTTAAATCCAATAAAACAGCAAAATGCTGAAAGTGGAGGGGTGGCTTAAGTGGTAGAGTGCCAGCCTTGAGTGAGAAAGCCAAACAAATCCAAAAGGCCCTGAGTTCAAGTCTCAGTACCAGCACAAGAAAAAAGAGAAAAAGAAAATGGCAAGTGGATAAATTGCTTTGTTGAATGGGAACTCCTTTAAAAATATTTTTTAAAAAGAGAGAAAATGTGGGCTCAGAAGAAAACTGAGTATGCAACATAAGTAAAAACTTATCCTTTCCCTCCCCACCATCGGCCCATCTCCCTCTTTCTCCACCCCCCCCCTTTCCTCTTCCTTCTTCCTCTTTTAAGAGAGGCAGGTAAGAGGAAGGAAAAAGCAGAGATTACAGTGGGCAGCTAAGTATCCACAACAAATCTATGTCTGTCCTTCTCTATGTCCATCAGTCTGGAAGGTTTCAATGCCTCCAAAATCAAATCAAGTGAGTTTCAGATTGTTAACATCTAGCCACCGTTTTATAACTAAGTCATTTTCATTCAACCCTAACTTTAAGAACAGTAGGTTCTTTATTTGGAAAACAATTAGGTAGGAAAATTCATAGAAGGTATATACTTACAAAAATTAAAATAAATGAGCATCTCCATCAGAGGAGGGAAAATGTGTTCTGATAATGATTTGCTGGTAAAATCAGTGTACAGAGCAGCAATTTGTCTTCCAAGTGTTGAGCAGTGGTGTGGAACAGATCTGTACGACATTGAGGAGCAAAGAAGAGTTTTCAAATCAGTCCTGGCCTTGTGTTGGCTTTTTTTTTTTTTCAAACCAAATTTCAGAGGTTCTTGTTGGGAATTCTGGGTTTGCAGGTATTTAGGCAAAACCCTGTACACAGCTGCCTACAATCAGCTCCTCTGGGTCCAAGGGGCAACCAAGTGGGGAAAAGAATCAGGCCAATCCCCCAACAGTCTCTGGAAAAGCCAGCACATGACAGGGACACATAGGGTAGACACCACAATGGCACCTGCCTTAGGTTTGTCCTGGGCCTATAGAAGGCCCAGGCTGGACCCCAAAGCCATCAGGAAGCAGTAGGAGAGTTCCCATGTCCTAACTCCGTGTTCTGTCTATAAGCTCCTATGATTATGATCCAATACAGCTAGTGAGTAATGATTCGATCTTCTCTCTTCTGGGTAGATCTTAGGAAGAATAAACCAGGGAGAAAAGATACCTGCTGCCCCCACACACACACCCACATGCTTCTGAGAGACCCAGGAGGATGGGGTCTTGAGGGGGGACCATGAAGGACCCAGGAGACTCCATCAAGAAGTGGGATGGGCTCATTCTACTGCTCCCTTGAACACAAGCCACCCAAAGCAGACACCACCAGCAGACTCCTAAGGAGTCACCAGCACACCTCTGTCTTAAAAGGGTCAAGGTCATCTTCTCTTGCTTCCATTGCAATGCCCACTCATGAACACGAGGGTTTCGTACACTTTCACCCTCAGAAAGGCAGTGGGAAGGAGAGGACCTTGTTACAGTTGTAGAGGTAAGAACTCAAAACCCAGAAAAGCTGCTTTGAACCACAGATGAAGACAGCAAGGGCAGAAGAGAGCCCCAGCCTGGAAAGCTCTATGCTTGCTTCCAGCTGCCCCTTCTCCCACATGCATTCTCCCGCCTCCCCACCCTGCCTGCTCCGGCTCCAGCTAAGTCATCCTTTGAAGACAGGCAGGGTAGGCTCCTGCTAAGTTATCTTTTGAAGGTCTGCTTGGGAAGCAGAGGCAGTAGAGAGAAATATGCTTCTTTTTTTTTAAAGGAATAATTTATACAGAACCCTTCTCTCAAATAGCTCAAGGCACTTCTGAGCAATCGCTGTGGGAAGACCACAGTGACCAGACCCCTTCTGAGCATCAATAATGCAAAGGCACTCCTTTTAATGAAAGGCTTGTCAATTTGACTTCCCCTGGATCAGGAGGGGATCAAAAGTCACCAATGGCTAACAGACTTTATTTGAGCAAAGGATACGGTCTCAGCCCCAACCCAGCTACGGACCAGCTACATCAAACAGCCACCATGCTGCTCTCCTGTTCCTTCCTTTGCTCTTTGATCATCCTTAGCTGTAACCACACAGCATCCACTGGGGCCACAAGGCCCCAACTGGATGATTCTGACTGGGGAAATCCGGTGGAGCCTGGCAAATCATTCCTTCCCAGAAGTGTCCACAATCTAGCTTTTGGGAGTTCCAGTCCAGCCACATCAGGCCAGACAACTATTCAAAATATTAAGACAGGCTGCGTCTCCATTCTCTGTGCTGATTCATGCAGTCAATGTGTGTTTCTTTCCTAGAAGCACATGACACTCTAACAACTAGATCCCCCAGCCTGGATCTTCATACCCACTCAAGTGTTTTTTGAGAGTTTCTTGTTTGGGGTTTTTGTTTTGTTTTGTTTTTTTTGCCGGTCGTAGGGCCAGAACTCTGGGCCTGGGGGCTGTCCCTCAGCTCTTCAGCTCAAGGCTAGCGCTCTACCACTTAAGCCATAGCACCATTTCCAGCCTTTTCTGCTTATATGGTATTGAGAAATCAAGCCCAGGGCCTCATGCATATAAGGCAAAGACTCCACCACTGAGCCACCTTCCCAGCCCACAGTTTCTTGGTTTGTTTTTGTTGTTGTTGTTGTTGTTTTGTCAAAGTTTCATTCAGACAGATCTTCTACTGAGACCTTTCCACTGATTATAATCAAGGCCACTCTTGAGTTTTCTCTGATAGATTTCATTATTAGCCTGTCTTCTTTACTGTTTGTCTGACTTCAGACAAAGACCACATGGATCTACTGGTTCTTAAGTATGTATGTATGTATGTATGTATGTATTTTTGTGCTGCTACTGAGCCTTGAACTCAGGGCCTTGTGATCTCACTTTTTCATTAAAGGCTCATACTCTATCCCTTGATCCACACTTCCCCTTTTGGCTTTTTTTGCTGATTAATTAGAGATGAAGAATCTCCTGGACTTTTCTTCCCAGGCTGGCTCCAAACCACAATGCTCAGATCTCAGCTTCCTAAGTAGCTAGAATTACAGGCATGAACTGCCAGGGCCCAACATCAACGATTCTTTTACATCCCTCTTTCTAGCACAAGGCCAAGATCAGTAAATTCCAGTTCATCTGCAGGATGAAGGAGGATTTGTTTTATAAAGGAGAAGGCAGCAGTGTTTATTGATAGGTCTTGGTGGCAACTTCTTTTTTCTGATGCTGGGAAGCAAACCCCTTGGTTTTTTTGGGGGGGGTTCATTCTTTTATTTATTAATTTGCCTTGTACTACAACTGAAAATGAGGCCACAGGAACTCCACAGAGCAGAGCTTTTTGCCTGTTTTGTTTGCTCTGGTGAATCCAGGACCTAGTCTAATGGCTACTGCATAACATGGAGCCAATACTGCAAGAAGAAAGTATATGCCCAACAGCCCACTCATTAAGAGTGGTACAGGGGCACAGGAGCAAAGTAACCATTTGCTTTTCCCCTACGTCTTTTGCTAAGCATGTTCAAAGACACAGATGGTTTCAAGGAAATCATTTGCTGGCGGAGGCCTGCTCTTACAGATACCCACCTAAAGCAACAGCTGTGTCTGATAATTGTGTCAATCCAGTGAAAAGATTGCCAAGGCACCAAAACATAAATCACTGAAAATATTATGTGATTAAGTGTTTTCCATCACCTCACACCACATCACTGTAGATCTGGGGCTATGGTAGTGCCAAGTACACAACAGGCCTGCCATGAGTGTTTGTGAATCTAAATTTATTTGGCTCCAAGGGACAAAAAAAATCCAAATCTTGGAAACTGGTCTGTGTCTCAGCCTTAGTTCATCTTCCATTAGATGAATAATCTCCCATTGGGCAGGGAAATACTCTGGTGTTTGCAGGAAGCATCTCGAGGTTTTTTTGTTTTGTTTTTTTTTTTACTAATTAGAAAGTCAAGTAACAGAGGGTCCCAATTCCCCTCTTTCCCCTTTCTATTATCAATAAAGCAGGTTGTTTTCTAAGTGCTTGAACTGCAGCTTTGATTCTCTGCTTGACAGAAAAATGTTCTTTTCTGCCAAATGAATGATAAACAATCAGCAATTAACACTACAGATAATGAAAGAGAGAGGTGGAAAATGTCAGTGTTCCCAGAATAACCATATGGGAGTGTTGGAAGGAAGGTCCTGAGAGTATGAAGTTTCAAAAAGTATAGACTGGAGTTGGCCATGGTGTATATCATCTAATCTCAGCTACTTGGGAAGTGCAAACAAGAGGATTGCAAGTTTACGATCCACTTAGGCAGTGTGAGACTCTGTCTTAAAAAATAAAACAAGAGCCGGGCGCTGGTGGCTCACGCCTGTAATCCTAGCTACTCAGGAGGCTGAGATCTGAGGATCGCGGTTCAAAGCCATCTCGGGCAGGAGAGACTGTGAGACTCCTATCTCCAATAAACCACCAGAAAACCGGAAGTGGCGCTGTAGCTCAAGTGGTAGAGCACTCACCTTGAGCTGAAGAGCTGAGGGACAGCGCCCAGGCCCAGAGTTCAGGCCCCACGACCGACCAAAAAAAAATAAAAAATAAAACAAGAGCTTATACTGGTAATCCTACCTACTCAGGAGGCTGATATGAGGATTGCGGTTCAAAGCCAAGCCCAGCAGGAATGTCTGTGAGACTTTGTGTGTGTGTGTGTGTGTGTGTGAGTCATGGGGCTTGAACTCTGGGCCTGAGTGCTGTCCCTCAGCTCTTCAGTTCAAGGCAAGTGCTCTACCAGTTGAGGCACAGTACCACTTCCGGTTTTCTGGTAGTTAATTGGAAATAGAGTCTCCGGACTTTCCTGCCCAGGCTGGCTTTGAACCATGATCCTCAGATCTCAGCCTCCGGAGTAGTTAGAATTATAGGCGGGAGCCACCAGTGCCCAGCTCAATGAGACTCTTATCTCCAATTAACCACCAAAAATCTGGAAGTGGAACTATGGCTCAAGTGGTAGAGTACTGGCCTTAAGAAAAAAGCTAAGGGACAGCACTAAAGCCCTGAGTTCAAACCCCAGTACCAACACACATACACACAAAACAACTAACAAATAAGCAAAAAGTTTGGTTATAAAATGTAATCTCTAGGATGCAGCAAGTAAATAAAGCAGAATGAACTTGTTATACATATACACATGCGCGTGTGCACCTGCGCGTGCGCGCACACACATACAGGTATGCAGCATAGCTCAAGTGGATCTGCCAAGCTTGTGCAAGGCCCTGGGTCACTAACAGTCCCAAGGGGGAAAGTACAGACAGAACATTCGAACAGGTGTGCAGATTCAGCCCAGAAGGGGAGACATAAGTCTTGTAGCTCCGGGCCAGGGTGGAGCTTGTGTCCCTTCTGCTCTACACTCTATGCTGCAGAAGGAGCAGAAGAGAAAAAGATGGTTGTCACCATCCCTGTGGGCATGCTAGAGTGGAAGTCTCCAGTGTCCAGATGTGATTTTTTTTTAATTGTGCTAGTACGGGGGCTTGAACTCAGGACCTTGCAATCTCAGCCCTCCCTTAGCTACTTCAGTTCAGTTATAGCTGGTGCTGAGCTACTAGAGTCACAGATCCACTTCCGGATTTTTGTTGGCTAATTGGAGTCTCTCAGATTTGTCTGTCAGGGCTGGCTTTGAACCACCATCCTCCAATCTTAGTTTCCTGAGAAGCTAGGATTATAGGCATGCCAGGTTGACCCTGGAATATTTTTGCAATTAGCACAAATTTAAAAGGACTAGAAGAATGGAATATAAACAAAAATGCTAATACCTTCCCAAGTCAACAAAACAAAAGGAAATACACAAGTCTTTGGAATGCAGCATCACTAACCAATACCTGGTATTGTAAAGTGTTACTGGTCAATTCAAATGATGGAAGGTGATTGTTCACTAAAGGTTCATGAGGGATCGAGCGTTCAAAGACCAAATAACAATGAAAACATTTACAGTACACAGACATTTCTGGATTTAAACCATGTAAGGCCGTGGCCAGGGAATGCCCTGTGGTGATTTCAATGTACACCGTCCTGGAGGTGAGTTCTGTAACTACATTGGGGAATGACTTTCTGGTGTGTTTCCCACCTACCTGACCTAAGTAAGCTGCCACCTGAGATTACAGTATGCATTATACTGTTATAGTCACTGTTGTTGGTAATAGTTAAACCTACCTCGTAAACTGGCAGCTAAGAAGGCTTGGGAGAGGAACCTGAATCTTCTCTCTTTCAGAGGTGCCCACAAGTTCTTCAAATGCAAGGAGCCCCCAAGCCCTCGCAGGGAAGACCCCGCCCCGGCCCCCCACCGTGTCTTCACCCCCATCCCAGCCGCAGCGCCCGGCCTCTGGCCCTGCGAGGAGGGGCCGCCCCGCCAGGTCCCCGCCGCTCCCGCCCCTGGGGATCCCGGACAGTCTATGCGCGCGCGCGCGGGCACTCACCGTAGGTTCCGCAGGACCATGTCCCACCAGGAGGCCACGCAGCCATGGTCCGGGGGCTCGGGTACCGAGGCCGCCTCGCAGTCCCCAGAGTGCATCCGTGCGCTGTCCCGATCCGCCAATGCCACTGGCCACTGCCGCCAGCCCGGGCCGCGTCCTCTCCACCCTGGGCGCCCACGCGCGCGCGCGCTCCTCCGCCTCCGGGGGGGGGGGCTCCAGGAAACAGGGAGTGGGGCGGGGGCGCCCTGCAGCATGGGTGTGGGTGCCCACCCACTACCAGAGCCAGGAGTGTGTTCCGCGCTCTGTGTCTGTCTGTCTCTCTCGCTCTCTGTCTCTGTCTCTGTCTGTCTCTCTGTCTGTCTATCTGTCTCTCTGTCTCTGTCTCTGTCTGTCTCTCTGTCTGTCTATCTGTCTCTCTGTTTCTGTCTCTGTCTCTGTCTGTCTCTCTGTCTGTCTGTCTGTCTCTCTCTCTCTGTCTCACACACACAGAGAGAGAGAGAGAGAGAGAACAAAATATCCTGTGCAAATAGCTGTGGAAAGTGGTGTGTGGTGTGTGTGTGTGTTTAGGTTTTTGAGACAAGGTCTGCGTAACCCAGGCTGGCCTTGAACTTGAAATATTCCCACCTTAGTTTCCCAAGTACTGTAATTACAGGCGCACACAGCCACTCCTGGCTTTTCTTTTTTTTTTCTGTTAATTGCTTTGCTTTGCTTCCCGCCCCTCCCCCCTTCCCCCCTCCTCTTTTCTTCTCCTTTTTTTTGTTTTTTCGTAGTGGTGGTGTCACTGGGGATTGAACTCATGATCTCATGTGGTCTACCACTTGAACCATGCCCAGTTCTTTCCTTTTTTTTTTCTTTTTTAATTTTCTTCCATAGGGTCTCAAGTCTGTCTAGGATGGCCTCTACTCTTTGGTCCTCCTACTTCTGCCTCTAGTGTACTTAGGACCACAAGCATACACCAGCACATCTGGCTTCTATTATACTTTGAAGTGCTTTCCATGATACATCTGTGTATATGTGTATAGGTGCAAGGTCTGCATAATAAAGTGTGTGTGTGTGTGTGTGTGTAGTCATGCAAGCGCAAAAACAAAAGCTTGATTTTTCCCAGAATGATCTTCATACCATTACTGTAGTAAGAATGTCTTTGGCTCCTTTGGTTAAATAATGGTTAATCCTCTCATAGGCACAATTGTATTGTTTCCGTGTTTTGTTTCCTTAGCAGAAACAACCAAATCTTATCATTGTGGGGAGCAGTGTCTGGGTACAGGTCTACACTGCAGTTGTCTCCAGGAACTGAAGGCCTGACAGAGCTGGCAGCTATGGGTATAAGTACAGGAACAAAAGAAGAAGAAAGAGAGGCACTTTGATGCCCACATCAAGACCTCATCTTGGAGCAAGATGCAACACTCTCAAAGGGGAATTGGATTTTTCTGTGGTGACAACTATGCTTGGCTCGTTCTTTCTTTCTCTCTCTCTTATTTGTGAATTTTCAGGGCTAAACAGACTCTCCAAAGCCATGCTCCAGTCTTATTGATATTGATTTTATTTCTATTATATTTACTTAGTTGTTTTGGGCAGTTTTGAACTCAGAGTCTCACACTTGCTAAGCAAGCACTCTACCACTGGCACCACATTCCTTACCCTCTGTCTGTGCTTTGGCTAAAAGATCCCAATAATGCACAAGGAACCTGCTACCTGAACAAAAATCCACACTGTTCAAGAAGGGGCATTTCTCTTTGGGGACTAGCCAAGAGGAGGTTGTTCGTGGCCTCTTAAAATCACACTGGCAATGTTCTGATTCACATCAAGATACAAGAGGAATCCAGCTGGGATGGACTTGCAACAATCCACACCGCTGGCTCACCAGCCAAGCTTGCACCCCTGACTGATGCGAGCCGCTGCAGGGCACTGTCCCAGGACATCCTGGGAGATAAGGAAGGCACCTGGGACTCCACTGCAGGAGTCGCTCATGACGATGCTCTGGAAACTCACCGGACTTGTTAGAAGAGCTCTGTATGTGACGTTAGAGTTTGCCTTGTAGAAATGGAGGGGCCAAGCATAACTAGTGAGAAAAACAGCTGCGTGGGGTCCTAGGTTCTATTCTATCTGTTCCTTCTGAGCAAACCAAACCCAACTACTATGGAAATGTTTCAAGCAATCACCAAGCTCTCTGAAGTTGGCAATCACTACATCCCATTTTTAAAATAAGATGTGTAAGTTAAGGCTCTGAGACAGGCATTTGTCACCCTGAGCAGCCCCTTTTCAAGTGGCTTATTCTGGAAGTCAAAAAGTAGAGTTGCCAATATGACTTGGTAGAATCTAAAAAAACAAGATAGTCATTCATTTATTCCCCATCTACTTACTGAGCATGTTTAGACATCAGATACCATATTAGGTACAGCATGAAATAGGACTTGGAAGGTCACTTAAGGGCAGAAATCAGTTGAGGGAATGCCAAGAATTGGAGGTGGAGAAGGGGTTGACTATAAGATATGAGGAACACTTCAGGGTGATGGAGACAGTCTATAGTTCATGGGTGTTGGTAATTATATGACTGTAAGTGCTCACCAGAACTCCAAACTCTGGAGGGTGAATTTTCCTGAATGAAAATTATGCCTCAAACAAATCTGATCTCCCCATCTAGGTGCTGGCACTTGCTAGGCTAGTGCTCTACCAGGGAGTGTCCCCTAGCTCAAGTCTTACTTTTAGAAAGGTGACCTAAGAAATGCATAGGCAAACTATATAACTGACCATGTCCCCATGTCATGTGGTATAAATGTTAACACAGAGATGCTGATACACATGCATTGGAATCTTATTGTTAGGTGTTATTTGAACTATTAAAAACTGGACTATGATCTGAGTTAGGTGGCTCATGCTTGTAATCCTAGCTACTCAGGAGGCTGAGATCTGAGGATTGTAGTTCAAAGCTAGTCCAGGCAAGAAAGTCTGTGAGACTCTCACATCCAATAAATCAACGAAGGTCAGAAATGGAGGCACAGCTCAAATAGAGTGCCTGCCTTAAGCAAAAAGCTCAGAGAGGCCCCTAGGTCAGCTCTAGTACTTCCCCACTCCCCAAAACAAAATACAATGACTGTCAATTGGAGATAGATTAATTTGACAATCTGAAATTATTTGAGGGGAAAAGAATGAGAGACAAGACTGACTCAGCTGTGGTCCAGCTGTATAGATGAACCGCTAATAAGGAAACATTTAGCAACTAACAGAACAGCAAATGACAACTTGCTGGGTTTCTATTACTTGGAGTATACTTTACTTGAGAAGAAAGTGTCTATCCCCCTTGCATTTTTTTTCTTTAAATACAACTTTAAATACATACCATAAAATCCACTTGTTCACGTATACAACTTAGTACTTCTAATATGTTTAGATATGTGCATCTATCAGCATTATTTAGTTTGTTAGAACATTTCCATTCTCCAAAAAGGAGAACATGCATCCCTTAGCAACCATTTACCATTATCCCCTTCTCTCTGCCTTAAGCAACTGACAGTCAACTTTGGAGATATTCCATATAAATGGAGGCACACAATAGGAGATCTTTTGTGCCTAGCTTTTCTCTCTTAGAGTAGTATTTTCAAGGTTCATCTCTGTGTGTGTGTGTGTGTGTGTGTGTATTGTGTGTTTCTGTGGCTTGAACCCAGGTCCTCACATATGTTACAAGCTCTCTACCACTAAAACCAGGCCCCCAGTCCTTTTGTATTTTCTTTTTGATTAGGGTCTCACCAACTTTGCTCATTCTGGCCTTCAAGTCAAGATCCTGTTTGTCTCTGACTTCTCGTCTCTGTAGCTGGTATTACAGGCATGCATCACCACACCCAGCTTATCTATGAATCATTATTTAATCACTTTGTGGCTGAATAATTTCCATTGCATGAATAAGCCACATTTGTTTATCCATTCAGCAGGTGAGATAAATTTGAATTGCTTCCACACTTAGGCTTTTGTAAATAATGCTGCTATACACATTTGTTACAAGTTTTTGTGTACTCTTGTTTTTCTTTTCCTTTAACGTAAAACAAATTCATAAACTGGGTCCAATAGCTTGGTCACCTGGGTAATTCAATTTTTTTTTTAATTTTTTGTTCCAATACTTGGGCTTGCACTCAGAGCCTTGCACTCTTACTTGACTTTTTTGCTCTCCCATTTGAGCCATACCTCCATTTCCAGCTTTTTGATGGTTAATTGGTGATAAGAGTCTCATGAATTTGTCTGCCTGGGTTGACTTCAAACTGCAATCCTCAGATCTCAGCCTTTTGAGTAGCTGGGATTACAGGTGTGAACTACCAGTGCCCCACTCAAGATTTGTTTTTTGAAGACTCGCTCCAGCATTATACAAAACCACCAGCATGACCATGTCAACTCTACAGCCTTACTGTCTTTTTCATCCTCTCTCAGCTTTCCATGTACAAAGAGGAAAATATTTAAACACATGGTGCTGTTGAGATTAAAATGAAACATGGGTGGGAAGTTTGAAGATAGTTCTAGACAATAGGGAATAGTCTGAACATTTTTCTTTGTTGAAGTTTTGTATTGTCTTTGCCTGGGTCAACTCTCCTTGACGACAGCATATAACATATACAAGTGTCCATGTGAGTTCATCTTGTGTGCTTGGAGTTAACTGTTGCTAAACTTCCTTTTTCCTAAAGGGGCAATTGCTTTGACAAGAACAAAGGATGATGACACGGCCCCCTTGTCAGTGAAACCCGAAGTGCACTCATGAGCTGTTTCTTGGAACTCTCCCTATTCTGCATCCCGGCCCAGCGTTCTCCTGCTATCCCATGGTAAGTGATGAGACATGGTTGTCTGATATCTCTAGAAAAGCTGGGCCAGATTTAAAGTTCACAGTTGTAATTTCTTTCCTCTTCTTCCAGTGAAAATGTTCCCTAGTAACTCCTTAATAGTTAATTATTGTGGGTGTAACTCAAGGGTAGGGGGCTTGCTTAGCATGCTGGGAGCCCTGGGTTTAACCCCAGTACTCAAAGAACCAATCAACAAAAGTGGGTTTGGCTGCCCACACCTGTATTCCTAGCACTCCTAGCATTTGGGAGGCTGAGACAGGAAGATTTTAAGGCCAGCT